AGGATTTGGCTTAAGGAGAGAATAACATACACATTCAATTGGGTATGGAAATCTGTCTTACCCTACAGGAAAATAGGGGGAGAAGGGGACAAGAGAGCAGGGGGTGATAGAGAGGAGGGCAGATTGGGAAAGAGGGTAATCAGAAGCAAATACTTCTGAGGAGGGACAGGGTCAAAAGAAAGAATAGAATAAATGGGAGGGCAGGATAGGATTAAGGGAAATAGAGTTAGTTTTTCACAACATGTCTACTAAGGAAGTGTTTTGCATAACTGCACATGTACAACCTATATTGAGTTGCTTGCCTTTTCAATGAGGGTGGGTGGGGAGGGAGGAAGGGAGAAAATTTGGAACTCAAAGTTTTAAAAACACATGTTTTAAAAAAATGTTTTCACATGCAACTGGGAAATAAGAAATACAGGAAATGGGGTACAGAAGTCTATCCTGCTCTACAGGAAAATAGGAGGGGAAGGGGATAAGAGAAGGGAGGGGGGAGAGATAGAAGAGAAGGCAGACCAGGGGAAGGGGTAATCAGAATGCATGCCATCGTGGGGTGGGGGGAGGGTTGAGAAATTTGGAACTCAAAAACTTGTGGAAGTGACTATTGAAAACTAAAAATAAATAAATTTATATTAAAAAAATAAAAAAATAAAATGCTCCTTATGGAAATAAAAATAGATGTAAATAATAGAAGAAATAGTAATTGCTCATGACAATAAAATTAAAATGACAAAAACAAATTTTAAAAAATTTGGTAAGAAAAGAAATTTCAATCCTGTTCTCAGACACCACCATCTTCACCACCTGTTCCCTTCCTCCAAAATCCTTTTGTCTCCTCCAAAGCCCCTACCTTCCATTGGCAGCAGTGACAAATCACCACCTGGGACCACAAAACCTTCAGTTTCTGGTGCAGCCCTTCACAGTCTTTGGCAAAGTCTCATTAACACCCTCCTTAACTCCACATAGACGAACAACACACTGGGAAAGGACTGGAAATGTTCTCACTGTATAAACAGAGACAAAACCAGGTTGTGTCTACACACCCCAAGTCACTGCCCCTCTCTGGGCCTCAGCAAGATGAGGGCAAGTTTTAATAAAGTAGTCTCTAATATCCCTTCAAGCTCCAAAGCTGTGATCCAGTGGGCACTGGGAGCATTTTCAGGATACTTTCTTCCCCTCTTGACTTTATCATCCACTTAGCCTCCAATAACAGGATGGAGATTTAGAGCCGAAAGGGACCTGAGAAATCACCTAACCTAACCTTCATGTTTTACAGAGGATGGAGCAGTAAGTGCTCAGAGACATCAAGTGTCTTGCTCATGGTCACACAGCTACCAAGAGGAAGATGTGGGAATCTGAATCCAGGTCCCCTCACTCCAAAGTCAAGGCTTTTCCCACTGTTTGGTATTGCTTTCTCTCCCTCTTCTTGAATTTACCAGACCTGTACTTTGTAGCTGTTTGAATTTGACTAACTTTGAACCACTTCTGCTCCCGAAGGGATCTGAGCTGGACCTTCCATGAATCAGGGCCCTCTGGGCCATGCACCTGGCTCTAAACCCTGGCAGTTTAGGCAGTGGGTCAAACGGAAGGCAAGGTTGTGTTCTGCCTGTCAGTTTCAGTAAGTCATTTACACCAGTAAGGAAATATCATTTTTTTAAATTAAATCTCCAGCATCTTCCCTTGGGCTAACCCATGCTATTTCTAAAGAAACCATCAGGAGGTCAGGTTTAGAATTGGGATTCACTCTCCATCACTCCTCTATTTCAGGGCTTTTATTGTATGTTTCCATCTTACCTGCTGGGTAATTAGTCAGAGATGGCTGGGCATGCTTGCAGGCTGTTTGCTCCCCAGAGTGCAACTGCACATTTCTGGCAAGGCTTGTTGGGAAGTGGTCCATTTCTGCCCTCCCAAACTGAAGGCAAAGAACACAGCAGAAGCAAAGGCCAAAGGGAGTTTGCTGCTGAAGGACTGAGAATCTCCCCAGCCACCGGCTTCTTGGAATTCAAAGGGGAGAAGGAAAAATCACACTGGGTACCTGAGAGGGGAGTTATTCCCAGAAGCCATGACAATAAGCCCAAAACAGGGAACAGGCTAGAGAGGAGAGGGGCACGTTGGGAAGAGGGGGCCAAGGCTAAGACTTCCAGCTGTACTGTTTATCTCTCACAGATATGGCCAAAACGCAATGTGCAGCCACTTATTACCTGTGAGATCTTGACAAGTCACCTCACCCCCACAGGCCTCAGTTTCCTCATTTGTAAACAGTGAGGAGGGGACTCAAGGGCCCCTGAAGCCCCTTCTGTCTATAAATCTTCCTATGAGCCATTCACCTCTCTACAAATCCATGCTTGCACATAGCAGTTCAAGGCCAGTCCTGTGCGTAGGTGACATCGACTTTGGACTGATTCTCATTGGCAGTGGCCCTTAGACAAGTGGACTGGCCTCAAGTCACCCCAGGGGGCTTGGCCAAATCCAGGACAGGCCTCTCCAGAGCCATGCTTCCAAAAATGTGTGCCTAGGGATGCACACTGTGCCAGCCAGCTGACTTTTCCCATTCCTCAAGCTCCTTTGCTATGTGAACAGCCAGTGAGGCTGTCCAGTGCTGCTCCAGGCCCAGAGTCTTTCCTCCCACCCCCCAACTCAGCATGTGTCCTTCCACACACTGAAACCAGAGCTTTTGGCTGAGCTCAGGTAAGCAGCATCTAGGGCACCACATCTGCACCGTTAGCCAGCTCCTCTTTCCTCTTAACTACATTTGACACTTTACCAGGCCCATGGCCTCATCAATGCTGGCATATTCTCTAACGGTCCCTGTCCAGATCATATCCTGATTTCTCATGTTGAATAATTCTTGTCCACATTGTCCTGCCCTGTCAAATCTCCACAGGGGCTCTCCTGCATTCCTAAATGCTGGGGGCCTTCCTTCAGACCTCTGGATATTTCCAGGAATGGGATGGGGTGGGATGAGGTGGGATGAGATGGGATGGGGTGGGATGAAGTGGGGTGGGGTGGGATGGGGTGGGATGGGATGGGATGGGATGGGATGGGATGGGATGGGATGGGATGAGATGGGGTAGGGTGGGATAGGATAGGATGGGATGGGATGAGAAAGTATTCTATTGAGAATTACTATATTCCAGGTCTTGGGCTGAGCACTAACTAGGGATTCAAATAGAAAGCCACAGCAGTTGCTACTCTCAAGAAGCTCACATTCTAGGCAGACTCAGAGGAAGGCTCCTCTTCAGGAAAGATGGAAAGGCCATCCATTGGCTCACAGGTGCCAAGGCGCAGTAGATGACAAAGGCCATGTGTCCTTAGGGTCACACCCAGCTCTCCATTGGTTATCTTTGGGCAAATCACTTCATCTCAGTTTCTCAAACTGGATGGATGTCCTCAGGGGTGCTTCTAGCTCTAGCCCCATGGCCTTATGGTCCTGTGACCCCCCTTGATCCAGCTCTTGCACACTTCATTTTGCCATCACACATCTCTGAGGATTTGGCAACTACATTACCAGAGTCAAAATACTTTTCAAAGACTCCCCTCCTTACAGCTGCAGATGTAGCTAGGTGGATCAAGGTAGTCTAGAGCACCCTCCCACCCCACTGCTAGGCAGAGCTTCCCAGGACCCTCCATTATAGACTCATTGGCATTCCAAGGGAACTTTTCAGGCAGTGGTATTATCCTGGAGGGGTAAGCAGAAAGTGAAAGGGGTAGTTTTAAATTCTGAAACAACCCCACCCTTTCCAATTCAGAAAGAGATGGGACCACAATCCATCCCTGCTGGGGGCGGGGGAGGGGGAGGAGGTAGAGGATTGTGTGAGACAATTCCAAGAACTACCAAGAGACAACTTCAGAAGGGAAGGTGCTGCCTCTCTCCTTTCTCCCCTCCCCTCTCTCCTTTGCTCCTTCATCCTGCTATCTGCCACTCTGCGGCTCACACCAGGAGCCCTTCCCTTTCTCCCTTTTCATCTTGCTGCTGCACAACTGTCCTGGGTCAGAGTCTTTTCAAGCCCAAATAAAGTTAGCTTTGTGCTTGCTGGGTCTCTCTAGCGTTTTCTTCCTGTAGATTCCTTCAGTCTTTCTCCATCAAGTATTTCATGGTGAGACAAAGTGACATTTAATAGTCACTTAAAATGCTGACAAGTACACACACACACACACACACACACACACACGCATGCATACACTCCATAGTCTCCCATCTCCTGGGAAGAAGCTGAAATTCTGATCTTTTTGACCATCCTAACTTCTTCACGGTGGTACTTGTCTGGGTCCCAGATGACCAGGTAGTCAATTAGGCTGGGCAGTCCAGGCCTGAAGAAACCTCTGGAACACTCCATAGCACCAGGCTTAACCTGAGCTTAACCAGATCAGTCCTCAGCCCCCACCTCCACCATCCCCCTTCCTAGACGCCTGGCAACCTCCACCCCTAGGCACCGTCCAGAGGCAAGAGAAGATTTCTGCCTGCCTACTTCGTTTGGAGCTAGCTAACCATGGTCCTGCGCCTGCCCAGGTGCCTCAGGCTCTCCTGATAAGCACCTTGGACAGCGCCCGCGGCCCTTTGCCCAGCGCAGCCCTCCCTCAGCTTGAGGTTCCTCTGCCCGCCCCACTTCGGAGCCAAGATCCCAAAGGAAAAGGTCCGTGATCCCAGGGAGGAGCAAAGGAGAAGAGAGAATGGGCCGAAACGCCGAGGTTCTGGGTTGGGAGTCTATAGATCTACCTGACAAACACAAAATCATCACCCCAGCTTTCCTCCCTGGAGCGTCCCCGACGGCCCTAGAACTAAAGGTTTGGAACCCCACTCCCCACCCCGCACCCCGCCCCGCCCCGCCCCGCCCCGGCTGAAGGACCTGATCTGTACTGAGAATGCCTCCACCACCCGGACCCTGACCGAACCCGGATCACTCCAGCCCAGACCACGGCCCCCTGAGAGAGGACTGGGCTGGAGGGAGCTGGACAGAGGCAACCTTCGCAGGCTCCCGCCCTCGAGGTACTGGAGAGCTTACCCGGACCAGGCCGAGGGGCGACTCCCGGAGGGTATCCCGGGGCAGGCAGCGGGGGCGGCGGCGGCGCCGCGGGCATGGCGCGACCCTTCCCTGCAACAGGAGATTCGGGCTGGAAGGCTGCTGCTAGGCAGGGGACGTAGAGTTGCCAGCCAGGAGGGAGGGCTCCGGGTGGACGCCTACATGCGCGCGGGGGCGGCGACGGCCTAGGACCTAGGAGCTGGCCGCCTCCAGGGCCCAGGGGAAGGAGGATGAGCTGAGCCTCCTTGCCTCCTGGCAGACCGAGGGCAACCAAGCTCCTATTCTTTCTCCTCCTCCTCCTCCTCCTCCTCCTTCTCCTCTGACGGCTCCGCCCGCCGGGAGCACAGCCCTCGGGCCGCGGGAGGGGCACTTAGCAACCGCACCGGCGGCAACAGCCAGGCTCCCTCCTCCTCTCTTCTCCCTCCTCTCCTCTGCTCCTGCCTCTCTCCTCTCTCCTCTCTCCTGCCTCCTCGCTTCTCCCCGGAGTCCGCCCGCCAGTGGCGCTTCCTTGGAGGGGGCGACTGAGGTTCACCCCGCCCTGGGCTGAGGCTTCCAAGCCCAGGTCACCCTTCCCTTCCATCCCACTCCGCCACACACACACCCCACTTCCCACCGTCGAACGACCCTGACACCTGGGACACCCCCAATCCCTCCAAGCCCCTGATCTCCAATGACTGGGACACCGGAGAGATCAAGTCCGCCCCCTCCAACTCCCTGGGCCCCCTACGCCCACCTCCCGAAGACCTGGATACCGAGGAGATCCAGTCTCCGCCCCACCCTCCGCCGTCCCCAACACTTGGGTTACTCCCCTACCCCCACTCCACAACCGGCACGGAGGCGACACTGGGGAACCACTTCTCCCCCGCCAGTCCTTACCCCGACCCCGCTAGACGTCCTGACATTCAGCATACCACCGACGCCCGACGCCAATGTAAGCGTGGCTACCACTGGGGAGGCCGTCCCCCTCCCCTATGACCAGGACATCGAGGCCACACCAGGGAGACTGTCCAGACTCATACACACACGCCCTGGACACAGCTACAAGAAGCACCCCACTCCAAGCCCCACGCCCCAGACGTCGTGGCTGCACCGAGGAGACCCCCCACCCACGCAAGAACACACGCACGCACACACACAGACCCCAATGTCCCCTTCCTGGGATTTCCCAACTCCCGTGGGCAGCAAAAGGGGGAGGAAGGAGGGGAGGGGCAGCTGACCAGATGCCTGCACCGGACCGTTGCCCCGGCCTGTCAGTGGCCCTCCCTCTCCATGACCTTCAGCAAACAGACAAGAAATCCCAGCCTGTCTTCCTTGCTGCCTTCACCTAGCGGCTCCCCTTCCCCTCCCTCCTCTTTGTCCTTCTCCTTGTCTCTGTCTCTCTCACACAAGCTGGCACTATCCCTCCAGGACACAGGGGGCTCTCCCCCAGGATACTTTGCTCCCATCTCAAGGGAGCTTCATCCTCCCAGGCCTTCAGACAGGGGGTGCACCCCAGTCTTGGCTCAACCCAGCTTGATCCTCCCCCGTTCATGTTACCTCCTTGAAGGCACTCAGGACAAACTTTCATGCCAGGGTTGAGCTTTCCATTTTCCTTCCAAACCCATGATTTTCTCCTTATTTACCACTCATCCTCCCTCGGCTGCCCCACATGGGCAGGGCCCTGCAGCCCGGGGGGAAGGAACACACTACCAACACCCACCCAGAAAGCCAAGGTGAACAGGGTGATCACAAGTCATGAAAAGTTCTGACCTCACCTGGTCTGGAAGCACCTAAGACAAGAAGGCAAGAAATCTCAGATTATCGGCAGCCATCTCCCCAGGGACAAGGGGCAGGGTGGGAGAAGCTCAAGGTCAAGATCCTGCTCAGAAACAGGATAAGACAGATCTTAAGAAGCCAACTGTTCTCACTCTTAATGCCATTGAGCTGGGGGGAGGGGCAGTAGAGGAGTTTCAAGAGGCAAAGAAGAGGAGGAAGAGCACTTGGCAAGGCCCAATGCCACCGTCATGGGCGAGAATGCAGGGCACGAGGAGCAGCGGGCTGACCTCTTTGGCTTGACCTTAGAGTGTGTCAAGAGGAATAACGAATATCTGGTCAAGTCAGTCAGTCTTGTTCAGTCCCGTCTGACTTTTGTCCATTAGGTTTTCTTGGCAAAGCTACTGGAATGGTTCACCTCTTCCTTCTCCAGTATGCCCCCATTTTATAGATGAGGAACTGAGACAAATAGGCCCAAGTAACTTGCCCAGGGTCATACAACCAATAAGTGCCTCAGTCTGGATTTGAACTCAGATCTTCCTGACTCCAAGCCCAGAGCTCTATCCACTACACTACCTAGTGTCAACTGGACCGAATTGGCCTCTAACCTGTGGATGGCCGGAGCTGAACAGAGCAGACTAGAGACAGGAGAGTCAGGAATCAAACAGAAGTTTAATTTCAAAGCGAGGGAAATAGCTTGCAAGCAAGGAAGGGATCTACACCCGTGTGCCAGAGCCCCACTCTTAGTGGGGGGACCCAGGCAGTGTGGGGAGATCTCACTCCTTCTACCAGTGGCTGCACAGTAAGCTGGAGCCCTGACAGTGAGGGGGGAACAGCCACAGTGAGACAAATTTGATTCATGACAGAGCTCCATGACCGCAACGTGGGTGCTACAGGTGCTTTTCTGAGTTCAGAGAACACCTGGTGCTGGTCAAAGCAATTACAGGAATTATATGGTTTTTCCAGAGGGTGAGATCATCCAGTGAGTGCAAAGCATTGTTGTTATGCCAAGCGCAGGACTTGGCCTGCTTGCTGGGCCTTAGCTCTGGAAAACAGTGTCTCCTAATACCTTTACATTTCCCCCTTTTGGCCAAAGTGAGGGGATCCAAATGAACCCCTCCCCTTCTGGCCAGGAAAGGAGAGGAGGGTATAAGCCACAATGCCGCAAAAGCCCAGCTGGGCCAGGACAAGCATTTTTATACCAGGAGGTCGGTTTCTTGAGGGGACCTATTGGAGAAGTATGCCCCAGATATCATTGTTTGCTTGCAAGCAGAAAAGAGAGGGGGGCCAAGAATGTAGAGAGAAAATGCCAACACACACTTGAATCAGGGCCTCGGGGGTTGGGCACATAACAAAAGAGAAGAAGAAAAAAACTAGGACCACATACTCAGCCCTCACCTGGACTCTTGGAACAGCTGTGTCATCTGGATGTCAGCTGCCTCTGGGTCCCTCCTAGATGACCCTTGAAGTCCTCGGACAGTTGTGCCATCCACTCAGGAGCAAGGGCTTTCTTCAGGCCATCCAGGAGTCCATACCCTGGTAGATGTGAAAGTAGTCAGAAGTATCTGGTAGGGGCCTTAGAAATAATGATTGACTGATCAGTGCAGGGCCAGTATTCAGATAAGAAAACTTCTTGGGTCCATCTTGGGATGAGTTCCGGCTCAGCATAGCATAAGTCCTTAGTTAACAGTCTCTAAATGACACACAGAGATGATTCCGTTTCCTAGCCACACAGGCTAGGTTCAAACAATGCAATAAAGGGTTTTTTTCACAATTCCCATAATTTCATAATTATATTAAGTCACGTACAGATCAAACTACTTAGAGGGCTCACAATGGACTAGTTCTGAGAAGGGAGATTTATGTGTCACCAAAGTAACAAAGAAAACTTTAACGTAACAAAAATCAAATCTCCTTGTATTCTAGTGACCCAGGTTCTGTGATGGAGTAAGTAAGGAAAGTGGGGCATCTGTGAGAAGAAAGGAAGGAACCAGGAAAGTGGGGGAGGTTTATGGGCAACATAAAGCACTGAGTCACCTTTCCAAAAATGCCTGCTCTTTTCTGGGTCTAAGTTAGGCACTCAGGGACGCTGCTTTCCCTCTACTGAAATGCATTTCTTGGTACCTCCTTCCCCCAGACCTCTCCAATGCTTCAGTGAGAACAGTCTTTGGCAGGTTCAATATGAGGCTGCATGAGCTTTACGGATGGCCTGGTGCCGGAGAACCAGCTGAGCTACACCCAGAAAGGTTCATTACCGGGTAATCAGTCTGGGGAAATGGAGGTTCTGTGCCACAGAAACTCATGAAACTGCCTTCCTACAAGGGGTCAGCAGAGACTAGTGTCTCTCAGATGGAATCATAGCTCTTTGGAAATACTTGAGTTAGTTACAACTGGCAGGCCACTAGGACTCTTCTGAGAGGTTAATCCACCACCCCCCTGAAGGATCTAAGCTCACAAGGTCTCATTCCAATTTGGGGAAAGTCTCCAAAAGGTCATATTCTCTTTGGCTCATTATTGTCTCTACTCAAAGCCCCCCTTCAGACCTCTGAAGGCAGCCCAAATACAAGGTTACATAAATGTGGGTAACAGGGTCCTCAGCTCCCATACAAGCACTCACTCAGCACAGCACATGTGCAACCCACACAATCCTCCTTCCTCTCCTGTAGGTCACACTCTTCTATCAGAGTCTAGATTCCCTTTGCCTTAGCACCATCCCATGGCTGAGCTTCCCTTCCAAAGTGAATTGAACTTGGAGGTGTAAGACAATCAAATGACTTTATGGAGAATCCTTAGCTCTCCTCCATTGGGTCTTTCTAGACTAATAGTACAACCCTGTGGGACCCCAGGGAGGTTGGAATCAACAATTTTTGAGGCCTTTTCAGGGTCTAAATCTATCAACTTGGGCATGAACTTGGATTCCTACTGTCGATCCTCCCTTCCTTCCCCAAAGTCAAGCATGATTTGGAGCTAGAGAACCCTGTTTTCATCTGACCTGCCCTGTTCAAATACTTCACAGGACCTAGGGGGTGGCAGCAAGGTCCAGCCCTCTGGCTCGCCTTTGTTGTGGCTTTAACCCCTCCCCTTCCACATGTGGGGCAGGAGGCCCATGAGCAGGGCTTGTTATCTGGTCTCTGGCCTGAGCCAGAGCTGTGGGCAGATGAGCACAGGCAACTCCCACAGGCTCTGTGCAAGCTGAGAGACTTTGGGATGGATGCTGTATGTGTCTTGCCATTGTCTATCTTACAACTCATTTCATTTCTCTGGGCCTCAGTTTCCTCATTTGTAAAATAAGGAGGTTGAACTAAATGACCTCTGACGTTCTTACGTATCCTAAATGAAGGAATTTTTGTTGTTTTGGGGGAAACAAGCAGATCTTTCTCGTGTGATTGAAGGAGGTCAGAAGGCCCTCTAGAGTTAATGAATCAGGCCACAAGCATTTGTTAAGCACCTACTAAGCAACATGTCGAATGCTAGGCATTTGTTACTGCTGTTTATCCTTTGTTCTGGAAAAGGACCACGGCA